CTCAAACTCCTGACCTTGTCATCCGCCCACCTCGGCCTCCCAAAGTGCTGGGATTACAGACGTGAGCCACCACACCCGGTCCCACAATTTATTTTTAAGTGGGGGAAAAAAGCAGATTATAAAACAGTGTGTTTCATATTATGCCATTAGGTTTTAAAACTTTAACAATGACTGTAGGTGTGTATGTGGACAACTATGCCAAAGAAAAGATCTGGAAAGATACAAAAACCAAAGGATTAACAGCAGTTACCTGTGGTGGTGGCACTGCAGGCATTTTCATTTTCTTCTGTTTGCTTATTATCATTTTTACTTTTTCTTTAATGAACTTGTATTACTTTTGTAGAAAGAACAAAAGGTTTTCTTTACAAAAATTGTTCATGATCTCCTAGGATCTCAGCTGTATTAGATTTTGTGGGGACGTTCGATGTCTCTCTAGGTGCGTGAAGGATCCGATTCTACTTACGATTTTCAGATAGACTTGTGGTGGTGTTTCCCCAAATCCACACAGACCTGCTTGTCTGGTTAAGACGGTTTTTATCAGCAGTTGGTCTTCCAATTCCATTTATGCAACAGAATAGAAATATTAGGCAAGAAGCACAATAATTTTCAACAAATATAATGGGAGAGTTGGTTACTTTTGCTTTATTTATGAACCGTGTGAACAAAGGTTAATGAGTTTAAAAGGTGTAATTACATTTATTTAGAAAATAAAAAACCGCTGGAAGGGAAAATACCAAAAATGGTGTAAATTGGTATCTCTGAGTGCTGGGATTATGGGTAATTTTCATTTCCTTCTTTTATTTCTCTCTTTTTCTGTAATGCACATGTATTGATATAAAAAGGTGGGGAAAGGTGATTACTTTAAAACCTCAAGAAACAAGTTGCCTTCATGTAATTACAGTGGAAAGTTCAAACAAGAAGGGGGCTCAGCCATCACTGCCGTGGTAACGAGGTGATTTGTTTTAGAACTGTGTGGCTTACTGAAAGAGCGTAGGTCAGAGAATTAGGAGACTGGGTTTGATCCTGGCTTTGTGACCACAGGCAAGTCACTAACCTCCTGAGTCTTTTGTCATTCACTAGTTTTTGTTTTGTTTTGTTTTGTTTTTGAGACGGAGTCTCGCTCTGTTGCCCAGGCTGGAGTGCAGTGGCATGATCTCAGTTCACTGCAACCTCTGCCTCCAGGGTTCAAGCGATTTTCCTGCCTCAGTCTCCCAAGTAGCTGGAAATACAGGCACATACCATCATGCCCCGCTAATTTTTGTATTTTTAGTAGAGACAGGGTTTCACCATGTTGGTCAGGCTGGTCTTGAACTCCTGGCCTCAAGTGATCCGCCCTCCTCGGCCTCCCAAAGTGCTGGGATCACAGGCTTGAACCACTGCGCCCAGCCTCTTGCCGTTCACTTATTAATGAACATGTATTGAGCATCTTCTGTGTTCCTGGGCCTGGGCCTGACACTGGGGACAGAATAGCCAAGTGAGATGTGGGCCCAGCAGTCACAGAACTGCCAATCCAATTCAGAAGGAAAATAGCAAAAACCAGACAAAAAGCGACCTAAGAGTAATGACAGTCACAGCTGCCTGTACCAAGCACTTACTAAATGCCAGGCACCTGTACATGACAGAGAAAGAGACACCCATATGTATACACAATATATAATGGACTGCTATATATATAGGATATATGTGGTATACATATATGTATCAACCCATCATATATAGTATGTGTATATATGTATATATGTGTGTATACATATATACATACAGATACATATATACACATATATACATACAGATACATATATACACATACATATACACATATGTACACACATAAACATATATACACATATGTATGTATGTATATACATATACATACACACATATGTATGATATGTATATACATATACATACATATATGTATATATGTTATATACGTATATATACGTATATGTATATATGCAAAGGTCATGACGTCCACAAATTAAAACAGTGCTGTGACACAGGAGTTGGAAACCAGCCTGAGCAATGACAAAACCCCTTCTCTACAAAAATACAAAATTTAGCCCAGTGTGGTGGCACGCGTGTGTAGTCCCAGCTACTTGGGAGGCTGGGGTGGGAGAACTGCCTGAGCCTGGGAAGTCGAGGCTGCAGTGAGCCAAGATTTCACCACTGCACTCCAGCCTCGGCAACAGAGTGAGACCCTGTCTCAAAACCATAAACAAACAGGGCCATGAAAGCATATTAGGACCATGCAACCTCGTCTCAGGATGCAGGGAAGTCTGCCCTGAGGATGTGACATTTCATTAGACCCCAAGGACGTGAAGGAATAAATCAGGCAAAGAGCAGGGACAAGAGCCTCTGGGGTGGAAGAAATGAAATGAAAGTGCATTATGAACTTGCATTAAGCTTTCTAAGTGAGTGGGACTGGTGTAGCGGTCACTGGCCATGGTGCTAACAGCAGATTCTCTTCTCCCCTCTCCACCCGCAGGCACTCCTGGCCAGGGCGCTTTATGACAACTGCCCTGACTGCTCTGATGAGCTGGCTTTCAGCAGAGGGGACATCCTGACCATTCTGGAGCAACATGTACCAGAAAGCGAGGGTTGGTGGAAGTGTTTGCTCCACGGAAGGCAAGGTCTGGCCCCTGCCAACCGCCTCCAAATCCTCACGGAGGTCACTGCAGACAGGCCATGCCCCCCATTCCTGAGAGGCCTGGAAGAAGCTCCTGCCAGCTCAGAGGAGACCTATCAGGTGCCCACTCTACCCTGCCCTCCCACTCCAGGCCCCGTTTATGAGCACATGAGGAGTTGGGTGGAGGGGCCCCAGCCCCCTTCTGCCCAAGTCTATGAATTCCCCGACCCTCCCACCAGTGCCAGAATCATCTGTGAAAAGACTCTCAGCTTTCCAAAACAGGTACGCATACTTCCAACTACTAGACATGGGTTGAGGGGTATGGAAACACCCAGGGGCCTAACTACCCCTTGAGTCATGGGTGTCCTCCAGATCGAACATGCAGAGTCATGGGTGTCCTCCAGATCAAACATGCAAAATGGGAGCCCAGATCGCTGGCGATCACGCTCGGGGAGCTTGTGTGCCAGGTTGGGATGGAGAACTCAGCGGCCTCCACCCGCTTGTCGTTGACACCCTTGCCCCCGCTGTGATTCCCCAGCTCTCCAAGGCTGGGCGCAGTCTGTGGGAAATGGAACGCTCAGCTGAGCTGTGTGGGAAGGCACTGGAGATGTTCATGGTGGCCTTTTCACAGGATGAAGGGTCACCAGGACTCCCAGTGACAAATGGCAGGGTGGGGTTTCCATGGGTTCAGAGGCAAGAAGTTATACATCACGTTTAACATGTATATTCCAGGCTGGGCACGGTGGCTTGAACCTATCTATATTCCCAGTACTTTGGGAGGACGAGACACGAGGATCATTTGAACTCAGAGTTTGGGACCAGCCTGGGCAACATAGTGAGACCCTGTCTCTACCAAAAATTTAAAAATTAGCCACCATAGTGGCACACACCTGTAGTCCCAACTACTCAGTGGGAGGATGAGGCAGGAAGATCGGTTGAGCCCAGGAGGTCGAGGCTGCAGTGAGCTATGACTGTGCCACTGTACTCCAGCCTCGGTGACAGTGAGAACCTGTCTTAAAAAAAAAAAAAAAAAAAAAAAGTATATCCCCTTCAATGCAGAAATTTTATTTCTAGAACTGCTATGGAAATATATAAGCAGGCAAATATACGTCTGGATGAGGAGGTTGTAGCCATTATGGCATAGAAAACTCAAAAAGGCCTAAATATTTATTAACAGTTGGATTGGTTATACATATCTTGGCATATCACCACAGCAAGCTGCTGTGCACTTGAAAAAAAAAAAAAAAAAAAAGATGAGGTATTTATAAGAGGAAAGAAAGATCTATTTAAACAAAAACCAAACAGATATAAACTCAAAAAAGAGGCAGGGTGCAATGGCTCATTCCTGTAATCCCAGCACTTTAGGAGGCCAAGGCGGGCAGATCACAAGGTCAGGAGTTCGAGACCAGCCCGGCCAACATAGTGAAACTCCGTCTCCACTAAAAATACAAAAAATTAGCCGGGCATGGTGGCAGGCGCCTGTAATTCCAGCTACTCAGGAGACTGAGGCAGGAGAATCACTTGAACCTGGGAAGCAGAAGTTGCAGTAAGCTGAGATCGCACCATTGTTCTCCAGCCTGGGCGCCAAGAGTGAAACTCCATCTCAAAAACAAACAAACAAAAAACTCTAAAAAGGAATTCTGTATATGAGTGTGTGTATGCATGCGTGCTCTCACACTGAGACTGAGAAGAACACGCTCCAGGGATAGTTACCCCAAAAAGGGGAACTGGTTAAAGAGAAAGTGAAAGAGGGCAGTAAGCTGGGGCCTTTATTTTATTCACTCCTGTGTCCCCAGCACCTGGGACCAGGTCTGGCCTGGGGTAGGTGCTCGATACATATCTGACAAACAAACAAATTAGGAAGTTGATTTTTATGTCATATTGAATATGTATGACATCCATAATTTTTTAAAATATCAATTGGTTTGTTTTTTTGAGACTGGGTCTCGCTCTGTCTCCCAGGCTGGAATGCAGTGGTGCAATCACTGTTCTCTTCAGCCTCGAACTCGTGGCCTGCAGCAGTCCTCCTGCTTCAGCCTCCCAAAGTGCTGGGATTACAGGTGTGAGCCACCATGCCTGGCCTAAAGTATCAATTTTTAAAAACAGAGGAAAAAGAGCATTCATTAAATGTAGAATGGGCAAGGCTTGGTGGCTCATTCCTGTAATCCCAGCAGTTTGGGAGGCCAAGGCAGGAGGATCGCTTGAGCCCAGGCGTTTGAGACTAGCCTGGGCAACATAGTGAGACCTCATCTTTACTACTACTAATAAAAAATAATTAGGCAGGCATGGCAGCAGGCATGGCAGCAGGCACCTATAGTCCCAGCTATTCAGGAGGCTGAGGCAGGAGGACCTTTTGAGCCCAGGAGATTGAAGCTGCAGAGAGCTATTATTATGGTGCCCCTGCACGCCAGCCTGGGTGACTGACTGGAACCCTGTCTTTAAAAATAATAAAACAAATGCAGAATGAGAACTTTTTTTAATAAGGAAAAGAATTAAAGTAAGGAAGGAGAGAAAGAATGCACTATTTCCCCCAAAGCCCTGGCCTTCATGAGGTGTTGAGATGCAGAGCAGATGTGCACAGGCCTCAGTCACTGCAGGCATTTCCTGCCATCAGATGCTTTGCTTTCAGCTCCTATGACACTTCCCACCCAGCCACAGCTCTGGCAGAGGGTCTTGGCAAGGTCTGTGTGCAGGGAAAGGCCACTCTCCCTGATGCATGTGCTGTGGGGGCCCTAGGAATGTGCTACTCACCATTCAGGCCTTCTCCACACCAGCTTCCAAGGTGGTCTTCAAACAGGAAGGTGTTGATTCCTTAGAAGATTTTGAATACTTTACATTTTCTAACTCCCTGGGCTACAAGACATAGAACCAGACAGTTGTTACATAGAACAGCTGCCAGCACAGGCGCTTGTTACAAACACCAGGAGGAAGCTGGTGGAGCCTTCTGAATCAGTCAACGAGGTGGACACTAACGCTCTTTCTGGAACAACTGGCCCCAATCTAGGCCTGGCATGCTCAGCTGCTGTCTGAGCAGCTGACTCAGAGCAGGGCTTTGCTGAGGTTTCTTTCAAGAACAAGTGACATTAGCTGAAGTTAATTTGAATTTCTTCCAAAGCCATGAAAGGAAAAAACAAAAAAATCAATAGCAATTCCTTCCTCTCCCAGAAAGGAAAACAGATGCGCTGTCCTCTGACGGTTGACCAGAGGACACTCAAAGACCCGTTAACAACCAGTTAAGGGTTTTCGGATCCACAGAAAAGGCTGGCACCTCCTCCCTGCTCATGCCACTCAATACAGTGCCAGGCTCCTACAAGGTACTTAGTAAATATCTGTTGCATGAACGAAATTGACCAAACACAACATAAGGTTTCAAAAATGTGGAGTCCGCTATCAACTGCTAGATTGACATCCGTGTGAAAGGAAAGATGAGTTTACTATTGAAACTTAACTTTGAAAAATGATCAGGGCATCAGCAATGAGATTTGTCCTTGACATTAAGTGCATCAACCATCGATGTTAAGTGTATCAACCATTTGAGCCCTTGCTTGTGGAGGCTGCAGCAAACAACAGAAACCACAAGGAAATTCGGGGGGGGTCCCTTTAACCACTGAGCAGGGTTCTCAAGGCGGCCACAGTAAAACCCCCTGGGGGAATTTCCTGCCTTGTTTTCCTTCCTTAAGTTCCCTCCATGTCTGCCCTACCTACAAGTTTGCTCCCTTCCGTCCCTCACTTCCTATTTACTTACTTAAAAAAAAAAAATTTTTTTTCTTTTTTTTTTTTTT